CTATTTTCCAAAATTGCATTGGTTTTTGTCGAAGGAACCGGAAGTGGTAAAATGCTAACTTACGTCCGGGTTTTAGGACGCTGCAGTCAATGGCGCTTTCCTGGATGGTTTGGTGAAACAAACCGTCTGAGTCAGGTTAGTAATGCTCCATCACATGTTTCTATTACAGGGTGCATCTTAAACTGAAGCTTGACTTTAAAGCAACCCAACGGAAGTTTCATGTAAGTTTAGTTCTTTCACTCGTAGCTCGGGCTGCGGGGGTNTTGAAAGTGCCTGCCCTTTCCAAATGGCTTCCAATGGAGCTTTCCTAGATGGTTTGGTGAAACAAACCATCTGAGTCAGGTTAGTAATGCTCCATCACATGTTTCTATTACAGGGTGAACCTTAAACTGAAGCTTGACTTTAAAGCAACCCAACGGAAGTTTCATGTAAGTTTAGTTCTTTCACTCGTAGCTCGGGCTAGAGACGGGAGCATGTTGATACGACCTTCCTAGCCGGAGTTATGGCCGCATTTTACAATAAACATACGTTGGGTTGCTTAAAAACAAATATCGCAAATCGCAATATTTGTCAGAAAAATCGCAATTAGATTTGTTCCCAAAATCGTGCAGCCCTAGTATGAAGCACAAATATTTCACATCAAAATACCAACCGTCGAGGAGATGGAGTCTTTTTTTTAGGAGGAGATCGGCTCTTGCTGCGACTTTTCCTGCGTCTCCTGTGTAGCAGAACAGGAACAACATGTATTACGTGGAGACTGAGATCCCTGGCCACAGAATGAACGTTTATTTTGACATGTTTTTGTTTCGGCTGCCGAGATCCACTCACCGTTCCTCGCTGCGTGACCTCCTGGTTGTGCTGTAACTTTTAGGCGGTGTTTTGGATCGTCTTTTCCCTGAATCGTCTTTCTTTCTATCCCTGTAGATACCGTTTACGTTAGAAATACAGTTTCACATCAGGCTTGAGTTCATCTTCAAACCATCATGTGTATAGCGGTAAACCCACCGTGATCTGCTCGGAGATCGCTTGCTTTGGTCTCTGGAGTCGGTGTGTCTCCTGCGGGGGCTTTTGGAGCGCTTCCTGCTTCTGGAGTTGGACCGCCGCCGCTGTGATTTGCTCCTGGTTCTCCTGCAACCGTACAGTTTGATCAATTCATTGTATTGGGAAACTACAACAGATAAAGTCATAGGAGTACCACACACCTGTGTTTTGAACGTGATCTGGATCTCCTCCTCCTAGACCTGGATCTAGAGCGAGAGCGCTTCTTTTTGCTCTCTTTATCTGCAGGAGAGAAGGGAAACTAAATTCATTAGTAATGTACAAATAAAATTCACAAGGACTTTTTTGAAAATGGTAAAAAAAAAAGGAATATCATGACACGAACACTATTACTAACACAAAACTATTATTATTGACTGTAGTTCCAGTAATCCAAAATTCGATTCACAGATAGCAAATAAGCTTGACTCGGACAAGATACGTCTCAGGATAGTTTGTTTGACTCTTTACTTCAACAAAAGGTATCAAATACAAACTCATATTTTCTCAGGTCAAAAACTATGTTGCTCTTTGCTTCCTTCTCCTTCTCACACACACGTGTGTGTGTGTGTGTGTGCGTGTGCGTGACATTCATATTTAGCTTGTTTTCATAAAAAAACGTAAGAACACAAATTATTTGCTTTTATTTTGAAAAGCTTGAAAGCGTCAACCGGAAGTTGTT